CTCACGGTGGAACAATAAGACCATTAAATATGATTATTTCTATGCTACACCCGGTAAATATTATATTTGGTGGAGTTTTACCGTTGATCTACATACCAAAGTGTGTGTAAATATTTATATATTTACTAATGGTAAATATCTACCTGGTGTAGTTCACCTGATGTAGCATAGTATAAATCATTAAATTTCATATTTAGACGAGTTCCACTAGTTAAAATTTTAAATAGCAATTTGAATAGACAAAGAAAATAGGAGAAATTAATCTTATGAATCTAAGTAGTCTTTAGCCATTAATTTTAATATTTTATGGAAAATAGCTACAAACTAAAATATAATATGATTATGAATTTATTATTGAAACTGGGTATTTTTAATGGGACAAATACACTAGAATATATAATAAAATTAAGAAAAAACCAATAATAAGGGAAAATGAGGGATAACCCACTTGTTGGGTAAAATAATATAATTTGGGCCCAATTTATATTTGAACATTTGTAAACAAACTCATTTAATATTTTCTTAATTGTGTGACCCCCTAAGCTTATGTTTATGCCCATTATACCTTTTTTTTCCATATTTTTTTCTCCTACTTTCTCTCTCTTCTCCTTATTTATCTCTTATCCGTCATTTTATATTCTCCATTCATTTCTCTCCCTTACTTTTTTTTCCTCACTTTTGACGTGTTATTCTTTTATTCTTCTTCTTCTCTCCCCTCTCTCCTCTCTCTCTTCCCCAACTTCCTCTCTTCTCGTATCTCTTCTTCTCTCTCCTCTCTCCTCTCTCTCTTCCCCGACTTCCTCTCTTCTCGTATCTTTTTTCTCCCTCTTTTCCTCTCTTCTTTTCTCTCTTCTCTCTCTTTCTTTCTCTTCCCTCATTTCCTCTTTTCTCATCTGTTTCTGTTTCATTTTTTTCTCTATTTCTTCTCACTACTTTACCTTTTCTTCTATATCTCATCTTTTTTTTTGTTTAAATCAATCTATTTTCTATTCTATGAAATTCATGTTTTCACCGGAGATGAGATTTTTATCATGAGTATTCAATTTTATAACACCATAGTATCTTAAATTGAAAAATAATATAGTGAATTAATGGAAATATTATAGTTAACTGCCAATTTTTTTATAGTTGACATCGGAACAATTATAGTTGACTATCTAATTTTTGTAGTTGACTCTGGCAACAATATAGTTAACTACCAATTTTTTATAGTTGACATCGTAAAAATTATAGTTGACTATCTAATTTTATAGTTGACTTTGGGAACAATATAGTGAACTATCCGATTTTATAGTTGACTCTGAGTGTAGATGACTATAATATTTAATGTTTTTCGACAACAATGATCTCTTCTTTGTTGTGGACTCTGATAAAACAAATTTCATAGGAAACAAATATTTATGAGTCAACAAATAGTGCGACCATAGATCTGTAGATCTAAAAAACAAGCTTGTTTACAAACTCCATTTTTGACTAATCAACCATGGAAGAATTCCGAACCGTCGCATATGGTCGTTGCGTACCGTTGCATACCGTTTATGTAGGACACTTCGATTTGTCCTTCGGAGTCGCTGAGAAGGGTGCACAAAATAGAAATTATGTGGTACATGTACATAAATTAGGTTAATAGTTGTCGAGGGGAGCGATGGGTGTATAAGAAACTACCTGTCTTCTTCTTGCTACCTTTCACCATTATTGTCGACCTGTATTTCTCAACGATTCCCACACAATTGTTAATTGGTTTTTTTTCTTTTGAAGAAATTTAGCAAACTAGGGCATTGATGCGACTGGGAAATGATTCGATATATTTGCAGGACCCATGGGTCTTCTGCTGCCATGTGTCATTTCTTGTATTTTATAATATATTCCCCAACTATTGTAGGCGTTTTAGAAAAATACAAAAAAAAGACATGTGACAGCAGAAGACCCACCCAATATTTATCACTGAGTGTAGGGTCGAATGAGCCAACATGCAGGGAGGGCAACCTGTTATATTTCCTTCTTCTCATATTATGTGTCGTTTGCTTTGAAGAAAAATAAAATATATTTCAAATTATTTGTCAAGAATTCTAATAGAGAATTTATTATGCATTTCTCAATTTTAGACTTACTGTTCTTAGTTTATCGAGAGAATATCAACTGTAAAAAAAATAATAAAAAGGGTATTTTAGTCACTTGGTTAGTGTTTTTTTTTATTATTTCTTTATAGAATTCATGCGCAATTATTAGTTTTCGTCTCAATACTTGTAGATTAATATGGGAAGAATGAAGTATAAATTAATTGTGCAAATCTCTCAATAAGGGAATGTCTAGTTCCAATTGTTATGATTGAAATTCCACATCCATTTGTCTTGAATTTCAAAATCAAAATAAGATAGCATTAGCATAAGAAGAAAACGATATCTTATTTATTCTCATGACTTGAAAATACAATGTATTAATTATGTGAAACATACAAATACATCAATCATATGCCAAACTTCCTCAAACATTAACTAGATGTTGTTAGGCATGTGGACCGAAGTACGACGTATCGATCAATCTTATTACCTAGTAATTTCTCTATCGAAGAAAGATTACTAAATGGTCTTATTCTTGAAAATGTATACGAAAACTACCGCTTTTTATTTGTGTAGTAGAGACGATTGAAAACGGTAATTATGCACTTTGGTTGTTAATTGATGATATATGTACGGGAAGGGAGAGGTTTAAGATGATGATGGAAAGACAAGTTTTCGGAATTAGTAAATGACTCATATGACATTTTTTTCAGTATGTTAATGGTCAATCGTTTAAGGTGATCGCGCAATTGGTGGTGGTGGTGGTGAACATAATCTTCGAAATACTAAGCATATACGTGGAGGTGGCGGTGGTGACGGAGGTGGAGGTGGTGGGGAAGGAGGCGGAGGTGGAGAAGGTGGTGGCGGAGGAGAGGAGGGGGGTGGTGGTGGTGGTGGTGGTGGGGGTGAACTTAATCTTGGAAATACTAAACATAAACGTGGAAATGGAGGTGGAGGTGGTGGGGAAGGAGGTGGAGAAGGTGGTGGTGGAGGAGGGGAGGGGGGTGGTGGTGGTGATGGCCATCGACAAAATATCGATGATGGTGGTGGACGTGGAGATGTAGACCCAAGTGGCGGTGGTGGTGATCGGCAAAGTATCGATGTCGGTGGTGGTGGCGGTGGAGATCTAAGAGCATCTCCAATGGATAGGGGTGTTTTCCCCCTCCCCTACCCCTCCCCCTCCCTTTCCCTCTACCTACGTCGTTTCCAACCGTTCGATCTTTTATTACTTTTTTTCCAATTCTCACTCTCACCACGATAATAATAATAAAATGATAATAAAAAACACAATAATAATAATAATAATAATAACAATAATAATAATAATAATAATAATAATAATAATATTATTAATATTAGTATTAATAACTAATAATTAATAATAATTATTACTAATAATAATTAATAATAAAAATAATGATAATAATAATAATAATAATAATAATAATAATAATAATAATAATAATAATAAATATAATAATAATAATAATAATAATAATAATAATAATAATAATAATAATAACAATAATAACAATAATAATTATAATAATAATAATAATAATAATAATAATAATAATAATAATAATAATAATAATAATAATAATAATAATAATAATAATAATAATAATAATAATAATAGTAATAATAATAATAATCATAATTTAATTATAATAATTTTACTTAAGTTTTTATTTACGAATTCAGTGTTTGATTTTCTTAAAATTATGTTGCTATTTCAAATTTATAATAAAAATTAAAATAATCGTATTTGTTATTTTTTATAATTTTTACAATTATAAAAAAAAGTATATTAACAAATAAAATAAAATAAAATAAAACCAAATAAAGAAACAAAATAAAATAATAATAATAATAAAATAATTACGAATAAAGGTATAATTCAAAAGGAAATAATAAAATAAAAGAAAAAGAAATGAAAACAAAAATATTAAAAGTCTTTATTTACAAATCAAGTGTTTGATTTTATTGAAATTATGTGATATTAAATTATGTAACTAAATAATTGAAATAAAATAAAATAATCTTACAATATAAAAATAAATACATAAAAAGGAATATAAAAAAACTATAAAATTGACAAGCAAAAAAGAGAAAATAAAAAGGAAAAGAAACCAAGAAACTAACGTATATAACAAGTAAAAAAGAAAAAAGAAAAGAAAAAAAAATAAAAAAAAATTAAGGAGCGTGTATCACACGCCCCCTTCCAGCACGTGAGTTGGAAGGGGGCAGCTCAAGGAATTCATCCCTCCCCCCTCTCCCCACCCCTATCCACTCCAGACCCACACCCCCTTAACCCACCTCCATTGGAGTTGGTTTTACCACCCCACCCCAACCCATACCCATCTCCATTGGAGATGGTCTAAGTGGTGGTGGTGGTGGTGGAGAACGACAAAATACGGATGGCAATAATGGAGGGCAGGGTCGAATTTGAGCATTAATAGTTGCAACCGATATAGACAGAAGCACTATTAAAACCCATAATCTGAGCGCCATATTGATTGCCGCAAGAATTTTGCGAAAATGGATTAATATTTTCTTGATATATATAGGCATCAACCATTTTTTGTCCATTCTTGAAGTATAATAACTAATTAGTTTTTTCATAATTTTTCTACACTAGATGGGCTATAGTCATTAATCTAAATTATGCAAGTTGTTTAATAGTTGACTTATTTCTTGAAGTGATGCTATTTACACTACCAAAAAAAACTCTCTATTCACAACCATCTTCCTCTTTCTGCAAATTAGTGTACACCAAATTCAAGATTTTTAGTTCAACAATGAGAAAAATCAAAGAAAATGCTATGTAAAACAATTTATTTAATAAATCGCATCATTGACAGCTTTAAATATCCGATAATATCTACGATCAGATATAAATACAGCCGGAAAAATAAAATAAAAAAAGAACCTGGGTAATTAAAGAATAACCAATTCAACACGCTGGGGTATTTCTGCTCCAAGCTGTTCCCGGGAGCGACTCCTTACATTTTCAATAGGAATTGAACTAACAGGCGGGATTTTTTCGGTGAAAAAAAAGGCCAGGGATCAATAATTAATTTCTCGATATTGACAAAGTTCTCCAGAAAGTACCTCGCGAGTAGGACATGAATTTCACGAGCACGATAGCCACAAAACTTGACAACTTTAAGTTGCTCTTGGTGAAACCTCGTATTCATACTACTCTTCAACGTTGAAATGGAAGGCGAGTGTAACTGAAAAACAAAAAACGAAGATATTTAACCAAAATATCGGCATGAACTCAAAATCCTCAAGATTGAAATTCTTTGCTCCAATTCGATCAATTCAAATTCGAAACTGGGAATATAGGACTCGGGTTATTTGTTTTGATTCAGTTACATATATTTTTTTTATTGTTATTGACATACAAAATAAACGCACACAATATATTTATTACCTTTAAAACAAATTCATGTATGCAAGGTGCTGCCCTTATAAAGTAAGGTAGTAGATCGACACTTTGTTGAGTCAAATCCCGATATCCTACGACCAACTTCTTCAATCTAGGCATTTCAGGGAACTCGTAAAACTCGATACCTTCCTGTGATTTTAAATAAATTCACCAAAAAATAATAGTAATTATACAACGAATAAAATAAAACAATAGCAAATAAACAACCCACAAAAAATAAAAATAAAAAAATTCAATTTTCGTCTTAACTAACTAACCTCTGGATTTTTCAGCACCGACAAGTTAAGAACCTCCAATTGCAAATTGCAGCAAGAAATCGCGTTACATAAATTTTCACCGGAAATTTCACCAAAGCCCCAAGGAAGAGACAGCTCAACAAGCATCGGAACATTTTCGATTAAGAGTTCTTCAAGACTTTGAACAGTAAGCGAAACAAGATTTGGTGCTGAAACCCTAACGAGTTTCAAATTCCGGCAGTAACATATCTCTAAGCGTTTCAAAACGAGCGACGAGCCACAAACTTCGACAATCGACAATTCTTTCGATTCGTGGACAATCAATTCTTCGAGCAAAGGGCAGTTACGTAAAAAGAACTCAATCGCCCCACCATCCACATCGATATATTCCAAAGTCAACGCTTTGAGGGGCTTAAAGTCAACACTAATGCTCCGAGCGAGAAACTCGTGCGGGAAAGCACAAGTTAGGCCAGGATAGCTTAAACTCTCGTCGAACTTTGGCGAAAAATTCAATTCCAAGATTGGAACTTTTTTGGCGGAAGCATATTCGAGCCACTGAGTGACTTCATCCACAAGTAACGTATACTCATTGTATCGCCTTTTATCGGAACAACTTATATCATAACGGATTATAAATTCGTCCAAAGTGACGGCTTCATGGGATTGGAGGACGAAGTTCACCCGATTTACAAACTTGCCCCTCTCCACTTGGGACAACTTTTTGCGGTTTGCAGTTCGTCAACTGCGCGGCCAATGTACGCATCGAACTTGAGAGAAGAGGTGTGTTTCCACAAGTTTATCCAACGGGACGAAAGAACACTAGTGCGTTCAGCTTCAATTGGCGATAGGAAAGATAGGATAGCCACGAGAATGTCATCCGGTAACCGATTTATCCGATCATTATCGAACTATAGCACAAAAAAAAAAGATTAAAAAAAATTCCATCAGATAAAAAAAAAAACATTGCGATTGTATTATTGGACGGACGAACAAATAATTTTCCCAAGAGATAAGATAGGATGAGATAAAATAATATTTCGGGCCGACCCGGAAAATTATAGGATTTACCAAACATCAAACAAAGTCCAATTATTGAATTAATCATGGTACTATCCCCAACCAAACGAGACCTAAGAGGATAATTTTTTTTCATTCTCCCCACTACGAAAACACTCTGGCTTTTGCACATTGCTGTTTTCATAGAAAGGAAACTACCAGACATAATCCCCTCATAACTTAATAGGGCAAATTACGGTCACCCCTCTGAGGTATGGCCAAATTACAAAAAACCCCATCTTGTTTAGGTAATTACAGCCACCCCTCCTTTTAAATAGTTTTACATAAAATTGATGTAATTCGGTTATTTACCGAAGCAAATCGTATATTCAGTTCGGTAAACATTATGAAATGTTGGCGTACCGAAATTTCGATTCAATTTTACCGATTTAACATCCCTAAATTTACCTGTAGAGGGGTTTTTTCGTAAGATAATACGTAGTTGAGGAAGGTGGCTATAATTACCCAAACAAGAGGGGTTTTTTTATAATTTGACCATAACTCAGGGGTGGCCGTAATTTGCCCTAACTTAAATACCATTGTGATATTTTCATCATATTCTGTAACAATTAATTTGATGAATAAAGACGAAAAGAAAATGATTTTGATTCAGCAAAAAACTTAATTCCCTTTTTCCCTTATTCATCTCAATCAACAGGACTTCCAATTCATAGCAATATACAAAATTGGTGATCATAATCCCCACATAATTTAATCAATTAATTTATTAATCTTCCTTTTCTTCAAATTGAAGAAAGAAAAACAAAAATTAGGGTTTGGTTGCTAAATTTAGTAACAAAAATCGGATAACAAGGCAACAGTTTTAATGGAAGCTGTCCTTCATCTTGGATTGAAACTCAGAATCAATTTCCAAACGACAAAAAACCCTTGAAATTGCAACAATAATAAATTCTCCAAACCAAAATATAATTAGTAATTTTTTTAATTTATTTTTTTTCTCTGAAGCGATTTTGTCGCAGTGAAATTGTAACATGAACCGGTAAGAAGAAATAAGTTCGGGCCGCTGCTCTTGGAGCTAGGGGTGAACATATACCCGCTTGACCCGCCCATTTGTACAACAGTTTTTCTTCAAACCCGACCCGCACCCATGCCCACAATTTAAGTATAAATCTGATAATTCAACTTTTTCTTTCCCATCTTCTTCACTCTATTCCCAAAACCCAATTTTACTATTCTGATTCTTCTAGTTTTATACAATCCACAATCGTTGCTAGATTCACCACCATCGGCTAAAAAGATTTTCGGTGTTATAAACTCAAACACTTTAGATTGTGGAATCATTTCGTCTTATTTCCACCGTATTATTAACACCAGTCTTTTTTTTTCTACTTATTCACGGGTTGGTTCAGTTGGACTCTCTTTTATATATATGTATTGCGAATTAGCTTATTTCTACTCAACTGATGTTGGATTGGATGTACATTATTTAGAATTAAAAAAAATTGTAATCCATTTGCTCTTTTCACCAGCCCCCCGCAACCCGACGAACCCGAACTGTGCGGTTTTCAAGAATAACTAGGCAGGTGCGGGTTGTGGTTTTTGTAACCCGCCTGTTTTCGGTCGGGTTATTTTTTTTCTTGTTTGAGCTTCTAGAGAAAAATGCCGTCTCTTCAATCAACATTACCCCCTGAGCTCGCCAACAATGCTATCAGGGTTTGATTTTTATTTTTTTCCTTCTTGTTTTATATCAGGGTTATTATTTTTTCCGTTTACTTTCTGATTTTTAATCGATTTACAGATCCTTTCTTTTATATCCTGGTTATATGCTACTAGGGTTTATGAGCTTTATGCTGGAACCGACTTGGTGTTTTGATTATTCTCTACTTTCATTTGTAATTTTCTTGACAAAATTAATTTAAAGAACGAATTCTTATAAACAATTAATTTTGTATCTCTCTTCTACCCCTTCTCAGTCCACTCTTCCTCATTCATCATACCTTTTCAATATGAGCGCATTTCTCTATGTAGTCATAGGCTTAATTCAGCACAGGATTCTCGAATTTTAACATTTTTTTTTCTTATTTTTAACATTTCCCCCTTTCCCTCATTGCAGCTTTATCGTGAATGCTTGAGACGAGCTAAATATATTGGCCAAAAGGTGCAGTGCTCTCAGCTTTATTATGTCTTGGTGATATACATGGAATTTATATATGTATGATTTATGATTGAACTGCTATATGGAATTCGTGATATTTATGATTGGGATAACACACTAGAAAAATTGTTCTTCTAAATCTTGTCCTAACAAAATGGCTTGTCGACAGTAGTTGCTGAAACTAGAATTTGATGCTCAACTGCATATTTTATATGCACGTCAATCTATGGATCTATTAATGATGTGTATTGGTTTGTAATTAGAATGTGACTAGATTTATGAATTGAAATTTGTATCATCTGATTCTTATGCTTTGTGGAAGATTCTTGAGACGAGAGCTTGAATTGGTTTTGGTGCAATGCATAGCTGTTTGGCTGTTTCTGATATTCATAGGCTATAGTTATTAGTTAATCAGGAACAATAATTGGCTTGTCCGCTAGGGGGAGTACATTATTAGATGCATCCCCACATACAAGTTGTCGTTTTTGTAGCTATGTTATTCTACTACTATTTGTTCATGCTTCATATGATGGATGTGGTGACAAAATTTATTCGTAAGATAGTTGAATGAAGTGGCAGGATAAATCATCTCTAATTTTTCATTGGTAAATATTGAATGAACAAAATTAAAATGTCATATTGCTTCTGAAATTTGTTATATTCCTTTTCTTGTTTACATAGTAAAGCGATTTAGTTCTTCGAGAGTGCTTCAACTTATATAGAATATAGAGTAATGTAGCTCCTTTGATCTACTACTTGAACACATAAATACAATACTGAACTTCTTACCGGTATGGTTAGAGAGCAGTTTAAAAAGCACATGCACGAGACAGATCCAGAGAAAATTCAGAATCTCAAGGATGAGTAATTTCCACTTTGCTTATATATAATTTGAATAATTTGCTTATTGGTGAAGAATTACTGCCTTAACCATAAAAACTGGGGAAAAAGATGTCTAGAAAATGTTGTTTTTACTTTACTTTTTGAGTTTGCTCATTGTTATGTGACAATGCTGCGAGGGGATTGATAAACCACATGCTATACGAGTCAGAGAACTTGTCTGGGAGAAAATTCAGCAAAAGCTCGTCAACCTAATTCGAAGCTCAACTTTGAACGTTTACCTGATAATTAATTAGTGCCCAACCCAAGTTTTGGTATTACAGAAGCTTTTGATGAGGCATATTTCTGTGTCGTTCAACACGAGGCGTGCTCTGGAAACTGGTTTTATGCATAAATTGCGAGAAGGGATTTTGGGCTCTTATCGATGTTGGGGATCGTGCATGTATACGCAGCGGAATTTAAAATTTTTATATCGAACTAGTTTCGATTACATGCATAAACTAATCACATAGTCAACGTACCTTAACGCTTCCGCCATACATATGGTAATTATCGATTTAATTGAAAACACGTAAAACCGAAAATTACGAAACATGCTTATTCATCATTCAATAAAATCGAAACACGTAATCACATATTACTCATAATCATAAATTATAATTCATACAAACATGCTCGAATTAATTTACGATAGTTTCGATTTATTTACCTCTTGTAGCGTGAGATTTCGACGAATCGAAACCTAATACGAATCACGTACAAGCTGCTTTATACCACTCCTAGGGGCTGCAGGAACACCACCAAACGACAGCTGGTCCGAAGGTGAGGCGACGGCGGCGCGTGTGTGTCAGCGGCGACGGCGCGTGGGCGGTGCAGCGGCGCGTGCGGCGGTGCAGCAGCGGCGTGGCAATTTCGTCGGGGCAGCAGCTCCTCTCCAATTAGGTTTCACCTCGAATAAACGGATCTCCCCCTACTGTAGCACTAGATACAAAGGGGTTAGACAACAAGGGAATACGATAGAGAAAGGAGAGGAAAAACCGGCGGATTCCGGCGGTGATCGGCGCCGGAGCGGCGGGGCAGCAGCGGCCGAGAGGCTGGACGGCTAGGGCTGGACGGCTAGGGTTTTGTGTGTTAAAATCTGATCTCAAACTCTTGTTTGAGGTCTATTTATACTGAGGGTTTTCAACCATAGTGGGCTTAAGTCATTGGGCTTGTCCCACTGATGCATTAAGCCCATTCCCTCGTCGGCCTCGTTTCTAATAAACGATCGTCCACAAAATTATAACAAAATTATATATGTGACGAGCTCGAAGTCCTCGTCGATACGAGTGCCTCTTCGAAATTTCCAATTTCCAAAATTGGAAACTTCCACTTCAGTGGACCTGCTAAATTGGGAAACTTCTCAATTTAGAAAGTTCACTAATTTCCGCATGTCTCTTTCTCTACGTTTATTCCGACTCGTAATCCACAATTACGAATCTTGGACTCAATCATATTGACCTCCAACTTTGCAAAGATTAACATATTAACCTATGCTCATTGTTATCAAGGATCCATGTTACACGAGAAGTGTGACCCTCAACGGTTCAGGTGTATGCTAGCCGTGGGCTCACAACTCTTTGTGATTCGAACAACACATTGTTCTTATACGAACTCCTCCCAAGAGTCCCGATTAGAGTAAAACTCGTTTTACCTAATCCCCGATCAAATCGGTGCCCAACGAATCAAGATTGGCGTCTAGCAACTACGCATCATGATTCCCTAGATACAAATGAAGTGCCTGCAAGAACCTTATGACATAGTTAGCGTACAGTACGATCCTTTCGCAGCACATGTCCCGATTGAACTAGAGGCATTGGTTCACCGAGACCTCTTATAAAGTTCAATAACCGTGCGAACGTTCTAGGTATTATAAATCCGTTCGTGTGCGACTTAGGGAAACACATTTCCCTAATCACCCCACTATCAACTCTGGCCAGAGATTCCATGGATTATAAACCGTCAGAACACACAGGACATCCATGACTACTCAAGCGCTCGAATCCCCTACTACAATGCACATACTTCACACTAGATTTCGGATTGCACGAACGTTGGCCCTTGGAGTGGTCCGCGGTGGGACTCAGGGACAGGTCACGATACAATCGGTCCTCTAGTGAAGTCACGGTGATGTCTGGGTCTTAAGGACTAATGGTGTACAACTATATCTTAGAAATCTATT